TGTTGAGTGTATCGGTTAAGTTATATTCGGAAAGAATAAACCAGTTTTATTAAGTAAAGACTTGTGTCGCTTAAGTTTCGTCGGTACGAAGTTACGGAAAATCAATTAACAAACGGAGACGTAACAATATCAATGACAACTAGTATACTTAGTTATTGAGTAAAGTGGTAAATGGAAGGAAAAAAAGAAATTTATTATAGAATATATTACAAAACAGTTGAGTTTTAACTGTGTGAATTTAGAATAATTTTATATCTAAAGAAGTTTGTAAGTCGTTAAGAGTAGAACATTCTTTAACTATGAGCAAACTTTCTTTAATGTAGAGTTTAATGTCTGAAGATCATGTAATAATTATAAATAAATCGTTATATGAAATATTTTGACCTGTGGTTTCAACATGTGAAGAAATTGATGTGTGGCTGGGTTCAAGTAACGGACGGTCATTCCTATTTGATAACCTGTTTTCTTTTTCTTTCCGTTTAACACTTTACTGAATATCTAAGTAAATTAGTGATTGATGATGCTATAACATGATCATCATTAGCCAATAAATATTTTTGAAACACTATTTTCATATTTCGCTGAAGATGGAATAAGTGTATTAGGAAACGTTCGAACCATGTAAATAAAATGTTTTGTGTTTTGTCAATCATTTTTTTCTTTATTATTAAACAAGGCTACATTATAAGTACGAGGATCAGTGAAACATTGAGTCTGTTTATTTATTTATTTTGTAGAATTCCAGTCGTTCAGTGAAGTATTTGGATCAGTGTCAGTTATCGCGTACTTTCGGTTACTCGATAAAATAGCCATGAAATTGTACAAGTAAGTCTATTTTTACCTTAGTCGTAGTACCATTAGCGAGTAAATCTGTTGAATTTGAAAGTGAAAACGTTATTTGTGAATTTAAACCTACAAGTACACTAGTGACAGTAATTTGTTATCAATACATGTACTAGACTTTATCTTATTTTCACCAAATAATTTAAAATAACCAGCCCAATTAAAGAACAACAACACTATAATTTCTCACTTAACTAATTTTTGGATTATTTTAAGCGAGATTGGTAAATTCAAATCAACCAGTCAAATGTATAACATATATTTAACAAAATACTCAGTGAAGACTTATATTTGAAAACACATTTCATTTCAATTTGATCAAAACGGAAGACTTAAGTAAATATCAACTTAAGTAGCTCTGCAGAGCAGAACTTTTAGAAACACAACAAGAGAATAAGAAACACAATAAAATAATCTATATATTTTACATGAAAGTAGATGGAGCTTTAAACAGCGCAAACTTTAAAAATGGCAGTTTCTCGGGTTGCTGGAATGAACAAAAAGCCTAACTCTAAGTAGATATCATATTCTTTTGTTTGTAATTTAAAACTATTGTTTTAATTAAACATGATTTATAATAGTTTATAATATTTCAATAGAAAATATTCTTAACGGAGGTTGGCATTAAGCGTTGAAAGTGCATCCATGTAACTGTTAGTGTTACTGTTAGTATTACTATACTTTTTATACTTATACTAGTATATATACAAATTACTAGTGTATATAATATATGTAGTAGTCAGTAATAATACAAATAATGCTAGTAAACTGCCTTTTAAAAATTTATTCAATACTTACTTATTGTCAGTAACACTAGTACTAGGAGTAGTAGTGCCAGTTACAACTACTAATTATTAGTGACAGTAATACTACTAGTTTTAGCTATTAATTAATGTATATTGTATTTTGTAGTGTAGTAATTAGTAATATGTATGTCACTAAGTCAGTGTACTGTGAAGGCTTCTATGCCTGGTTCTTCGAGGCTAAGTAAACTTACACAAGTTACTACTAGTAGAAACATTATTGGTAATTAATATTACAATTAGTTTGTGATAAGAACGTTGGAAAAAATGAGGTGTCAGAAAGTGATTTAACTTATTCATTGAGTCCACCCCTAATTATACAAAACATTCATCTTAAGTATAATGCCTGAGCTCACTTCATTATTAATATTAATATTCGGTTAGTTAGTGTAGAATTTAAGATTGTGATTACTGTAAATTTAGGCTGAGGTTGTCAATTCATTTGAAACTTTATGTATTGCTAGTTTAAAGGTACCATGTTGAACTACACATAACTATCCAATAGTGCATTATAATCAATAAAACAAATTATGATAGGATTAATAATCTTTCGACTGACACATACCAGACAAAATAACATTTAAAATTATAAAGGTCAAACAATTTCATTAAAACTAATGGTTAAAAACCTGCCATACATTTCAATATAGTCTAGTATCAACTAAAAATGAAAAAGAGAAGAGGCTGACATGTCTGATCTTTGACCACAAACTCTGGGGAAAATGTTATCTAGTCCTGGTATTTTATTTATTTTTAATCTCTATTTTTTTTCTATTTACCACCCAGAGATTAATATTACATGATTCTAGTGAATCCCAATATCTCCCATAGAATGCTAAGGGTCAGGTCTTGTTAATACAGAAGTGAACGAAACACTTAAGAGCTCTGCCATCTCATAATCTTCAACAATAACCATGCCATTAGCATCCTTTTAAGGCCCAACCCACATTCTAATATTACCAAAAGGAATCCTTATATTTAGTTTTAATATTATCAGTTAGCTGTTTCTCATAAGCCTTTTGGATTTCCAGATTACTTTTTGAACCAAATCCCTGTTTTTCCTGTAGTTCTATAAATCTTCCAACCTGTCAATTCGAGTTTCTTATGACATTTGATTATCCCTGATTTTCTATTTTGTTTTTAGTAAGCCAATTAGATTTGATCTTCCATGTTATTATTTTTCACCTGTTAGGAATATGCCTATTTTGAATTATAAACAATATATTTTTACAACTTTCTCAGATATTTTCCACATCATCTTTTAACTCATTATCCCAATTCATTAGTGATAAATCTTGTCTCATATACTAAAAGTTGGATTTCTGAAACTTATGAACAAAAAATTATTTATTTTTACCTCAAAAAATATCAAACCTAATTATGCAATTATAACTTTTCTACACATTTTTCTCCTTACATCAATCCTTGCAACCATATCCTCATTAGTGGTTAACAATACATCTAAAATGGTATTCCCACAGGTTGGCTCTCTGACAATTTGGTATAGAAAACCATCCCAGTTCAATTCAAGGAACCTCTACCTCCCCTCATTATTATAATTCCAACCAATGTGTCTTAAAGTTAAGGTCTCCCATAATTAATACAACAGTGTTCTTATGTACCAACCACAATCTCATTATACAGTTTCATATTTACCTTCTTCAGTCTGATCAAATGGCCTATAATAATTGCCAGTTAAAAACTTTATATTCTAGTAATCCCTGATTGTAAAGATTCAACCTCTTGACAATCATTTTTATGTTTTCAGTCCTAACAGGCTGTAGTTCATCCCTGATACACAGATCCACCCTACCCCCTTACTTAAAAAGTCTGTTATTATTAAAGTACTTATAACTTGGAGTTTCAAAGTAATTCTTATGATTATTATTCTCTAAATCTCACCAAATTTCAATAGTTCACATCATATCATACTCTTCTATTTCAACTAGAGCCCTGAACAATGATGTTTTGTTCCTAATACTCCTAACTTAAGAATAATACCAATTAAGTTTAATCTTAATCCTACAATGTATATCTTACACATGACAAACTTTAGAAATGTTTAAATATTCTCTAAATCATATTTTTCCAAACTATTTGTTGTCTTACCATCCTGTCAATTAGTTTATTCTCAAGGCTCCTCATCACCATGCACATTTATTCTAAAATGTATTTAATGAATATATTTGGAGCTTCCCCAAACATCCTATTACCTAAGTTGCTTAAATAGAACTCATCTCTAACATGTAATTCACTCTTAACTTGTAAAGTATTCACAGATGTCACAAGCTCACCTGTTGCAGAGTATATCCCTGATAATTTTTCATTTGAGCCTTGGATAATGCTAAGTAATTCATTTTTGCACCTAGCTTGAAGGAGCATGAACTTACAAAAGGGTCACACATCTATTTTGGTCTCTAAGCCTCAGAAGGAGTTCTTTATAACTATTAAACAGCTTTTCTGATTTACAGTCAATTTCTAACATCATTTACTCCTAAATGGACTACAAAAAGAGATTGTTCCTTGGTATCAGCATTTATACTGCAGTGCTCCATATAGCTAGCATATCTGCATAAAATAAGTATAATGTTTTGAGAGATACGTGCCATTTTTTATTTTACATTTATCAGTTATGGATGTACTGTCACTAATAAGTTATGTTATGATTGCACACTGTAAAGATGGTTATTTTTCCACATGGAAAGCAAACCACAACTAGGAATCTAATGACACATCAAACTGTCGCTAGATTGTGACTAGGAATGTACTGATAGCAATGCATTGGCTGTAGATTTTAGAGTTGATAACAATCACTGATAGTATCCTCAACTATTGATGTTTTTTGATGATTTGCAAACTTGATTATTTTCCCCATTTCTTTGTTTTATTTGATCCATTCCTTGGTAATTTCCATTTGTTTTAGACTGGTATTACAGTCTGTATTCACCCAAAAGCGTAAAAGCTCACATATCACATCTGCCATTAGTAGTGTTAATCACACAATGGATGAAGCCCATATTGAAGAATTAACAACTACTGTGATTCCAAATTTACCAAGTATATCTTCCAAAAAATTGACAATCTTTTAGTAAACATGAAAAATATGTTGTATAAAAAAAAAGTAATAATGTATTTCCGTGAAATGTGAATTTTATGATAAGGATAACTTATACTTATTTTCATTTTAAAGTTTTCATATCTTATTTAAGTAATCTCTAGAACCTCCTAAATGAACATCGGAAGTTTTTTGGTAACATTATATGTTTTTATCTGTTGAGTTTTCTACACAAACAACACATACTTGAGCCTTTTATTTTTGATGAAGATCTAGCAGGTGGCACTGTTACTTATCTTACAGATTTTTATAGTACCAGTAAACTCCCCTAAATATCAAATGTTGCTTTGTAAAACATACTGAAGTGATGCCTTGCTTAACAAATATGATTTGGTACAAAATTAATGGCCTAGGTTCAAAGGTATATTGAAAGGCCATATGAAAACTCAAAAACAGAACATTTATGTGAAGGGGTTATTAAACTGCATGGTGATAAATTCCCTAATATGTTAAAATTGTGTCAAATAGCTTTACGTTTTTGTGTAACAAGCATTGATTGTGAAAAAGCTTTTTCTGTAAAAAACGGACTTAAGATGAAATTCAGATGCTCTGTGAAGACTTAACAAATAGGCTGTTTAAAGAAAATTGTAATGTTTGCCCAGAAATTTCACTCATGATAATACTTTTATTTGACCTAATATGTAATATCTTTAGTAACATAACCTAGTGCCACTACCTCAACATAACATGATCTAATCATAAGCCTAATGTGGTAACTTCAGTCTTAGCTTTACCAGCAGTATCAAAATCTTAAAGTTCTTGACTATAACTAATCTAATTAAAATGCACTGAAATAACAACTAAAAAGCTTAATAATTGCAAAATAATACTTGTTTGTCAGGAAAAGTCAAAGTCTATAACTACAAGAATTTCTAATTTCTATGTCTTAGAGCTTGCAAATATATGCCCACTAACCTCCAAAATCTTCCACTATACTTAGGTGTGTGTCCAAATGCTAAAGAAAAGACCTTTGGGGTCAAAATCCACAAAATTTTGACCAATAGCTTTTACCCATAATGAGTTAGATTTGTTGGAGCTTGTTTTTTAACCACTTGATTGAACATAATAGACTTTGTTTCTGGAAAAATACTTCATAAGAGTAATATGCACATTCATTATATGTTTTATACCAAGTTATATGGTTTCATGTAATAGTCTGTTATGCTTAAAATGTACTACTGTGTTTATACATAGATGGATGCATGCATGTGTATATAATGTAATGTTGTACTTTACAACATGTTTCTTACCTCTTCTTTTAACTCATTTACTTTGTTCTAAGCTGTTCATGTAGTTCTGCATCAGCACCTTCATATTTTAATGAATATGTATATATGTATATCTTGACAATATTTATTTCAGAGGTAAGCCTCCAAAATCAGTACGGTACACCGGGGCAACAAAAGAAACTCAAACCTATCCTGATGAGTTAGCATTTTCAGGACCTTGTTTGAGTGGCAAGACTAGGAATGAAGAATCAAGAGATAATTTTGTTTTACCAACAGTGGAAGAGAGGCTTGCACAGTTGCGTCCTTCTAAAGAGCTTTTAGATTTTTATAGAAAAAAAATTTCTGAATATGATGAAGAAGCAGATGAAATGATTAAAAAAATCAACAGCTTTTTAAAAACATGTGAAAAACAGGTAACACATTTTTTTTGTTTCAATTCATTGTATGTAGATTTTGTTATCCAGAATGAACTGTTTTTTTACCTTTACCAAGAAATGATACATTGTAGTTTGAGTGTTTCATGTGATTGTCAAAAAAAAAAGACACTCCTGTCTATGTTAAACTTATGGTTTAAGTTGTACATTAGCATTTAGTGTTACATATATTTTATTTGATTACACAACTATATGTGAAGTACCAATGTATTGTCATTTAATCATAATATATGCAGGATATTAGTAATCGACTCATTTTTCGGAAAACGTAACTTAATGATAAAGGAAAACACAAACGTGATAATAGGAAGCATTTATTAAACATTTCAGAATCATCATAATTCCATCATCAGTAATCTAGAGCTACAAAACAAACAAACAATATTTGTAAGTACAACAGAAATATGTACATAAGAAGTAAACAATTTGAATATACAACTATAATGTGAGAAAATGAAAAATGTGGCACAAATGAAAAAGTTAAAATATGTTTAAATCAAGTGAAGAATGTGTATTATTTAGGGACAGAAGAAGAGTTTTCATATGTGATGTTTCTTTTATAAAAAGTTCAGTATCCTGTTTGACTGTTAAGAGAATTTTAAAGTTGGAGAGAGAAATCGGATGTCCTGTTTTTGTATTGTGTTGATAGATAGCGGAGTCGGGAGAGTTTGTAACCTTTCTTCCATTTTTTATAGATAAGCCCACGTGTTCACGTGCTCGTACTTTTAGGTGACGTTTGGTTTCACCAATATGAGAGGCCTTACAGTCTCCGCACATGTATAAATAGACAAGATGTGAACAATGGGCAGTCGGCAAACAATCTTTGTAGTGGAAAAAATGTTTTAGTGTGAAATTGGGTTTCATAATAACTTTCAGGTCAATTTGGGGATAGTAAGAGTTTGCTGACTGCTCATCACTTAAGTTTCTTATTTCAGCTCAAGAGCTTCCACTTTTTCATTATTTGTTTCTCTCTCTCTAACTTCCCATCTACTTGTCTCTGTCTCTTACATACTCAACTTCTTTGCTGTCTGTTTACACTTCACCTTCTTACTGAGGCTTTAAATCATGACCCTCTTAACTTTACTTGGTAAAATTGCTCATAACTGTTTTCCACCTTGACCTCAATTTTTTCTTCTGTTATGTCCAAGTTAACCTTTTTTCCTTGTTTCTGTGACATACTTCATTTGGTTGCCTTACTTTCTGACATTCAACTCCCTAAGTCTTCTTTCAGGGACCTCTGTGTTGCACCCTTTGTTTGTGATGAGTTTTTTTGTTTGTTTCTTATACTTTGGAATCTTGAGCTGATGCACCTCATTAGCAGTCATCTCTACTAACGTAAGTTTCTTGGCTTTTTGGACCAAAATCCCCAACAGGTTTCTAATACTCTACAGTCTGGTGGGATCCTCCCTATCATTTTCCTAGTTCTTTTGTTACTATCCAATGTTCCACCCCCTCTCATGAGAGCTGGCCCTTGTAGGTCTATGAGGCAACTTGTTTCTGGAGCTATCCCTTGTCTCTTATCTAGTGTGAGCTTAACTCTCCCACATTATACACCTGTGGACTCCCTTTGCTCCAGACTTCTGGGTTACTCAAGTGCTTTCTCACGGATTTCCCTGTTCTTCCACTCTCCATCTCGCCTGATTAGAATGCCATGGAGTACAACCTTGACCACACTCTTGGGTTTTACTCCCTTTGATGTTGTTCCCACGAAGATATAAAATTGAACTACCTTTGGTCTTTTCTCATTTCAAGATGGATGGTTTTCTCATTCTACAATAAGCACTGTCATGGATTGTGGAGGACCTGGATTGAAGTCTCAGGTGCTTTCTCCTCATTTCAATTTAAACATCAACCTTTCACTTTTTTTGGTCATCTACAGTGGTTGAACATTTAATTCACAGCCACTCCTTTTGAGTTGGCTACAGCCCTATATGTTTTCCATTAGGTCCAATGAGCTTTTACTCAGAGGTTACATTCATGAAGCCTTCTGTTCCATTACTGTGTGGACATTTGGACTCTGTTTATCCCATCCAACATGGTTTTTACTATTGTGACCTCTCTCTTCTCCTTCAGGAATTATCTCATTTAGATGGTTGGTTCAGCTCCCACCCTGCATTTCATTCACTTGAAGGTGTTTCTCAGTTTATATGTAAGGTAGATCAGCCTATGCCTTTACATCTTGGTAAAATGGAGCTTCTGATACTAAGGATTTATTTCTTTTCAGGACTTGGTCTTTTTTAGAATCCCTTGTTCCTCTTGGAGTACCCTTATCTGTCCCCTTCAGTGAATTCTGGTCAGTCAATGCAAGTATATTTGAGATTCACTTTCTTTTTTTCACCTCTTGCTATCATGATGGATCACTCAAACCTACATGATCCTTGATCTCCCATTTTACCTAACTCACTCAGACATGCATTTGTTTGAAGCCATCAGGGCTCAGCAGTAAGACTGAGGGCTTATAGCACTCACCTGGGCAGATTTTCATACCTGTAGTGATTGCAACACAGGTGGCAAATAGTGTAGCTTTGTGCCACCTACAAAAAAAACCTGTCAACCAATACTTCTGTTCAGGCGGGGTGCTTTTGGACAGCTGATCCATTTCTGGAGCTTGTTCCCCAGAGGAGTGGTCTCTGTATCTACATTCTCAAGACTTTTGCAGGCTTGCTGTTATTTTCTGTCCTGTCTGTCTGATCTTTTTTATCATGATCCATTCAGATACCTCCTCTGAAATTTCTTTCTCCCACCATGACGAAAGTACACATTCTTGGGACCCCTGATTTCCTTGCTGTAGACTTTCTCTATTTGGTTGTTGGTCTATCATGTCTTGAGAGCTTAAATTATGGTGGTGGACCAATTATCTAATCTAGACTGGATCCTTCCCACAAGGTGGTATATCTATTCTCTAGTGTTTTCAATGGATTTGTTCCCATTATGGGAGTCCTATCATTGCTGCCTTTTCAACTTCCCTCAACACCTAACTTCCTTTCTTTTGGTCTTCAATCCCAAACTTTAAACTTATGTCTGGAATGGTTCAGTCTCTTTTTATATGCTTCAGACATATTTTCGTCTCCTTCTTTCTTGCAGGAGACATTGCTTTCATTTTTTTTTACCTTGGATGCCTCCTGCACTGTTTCATCCCTTGACCACTCCTTTCTCCTCTAAACTATTTAGGAGGATAAAAGGGTCTTTTCTTTATTTGACCTCCCTTTCCTTTGTTCTCTATACAATCATCCCGACCCAAATCATTTTCTTAGTTCTTTATGAGCTGTTCTTTGTTATTTCACTCGTAACAGCACTTTTTAGGGCAGATGACAATGTCTTTTCTTTCAGTGGGCTTCCTCTTCATTTAGTAGCTTATCTTCTTCCACTTTGACAAGCCATCAGGCTAGCTTATCCTTTTATTGAAGATGACACTTTTTTTTTTCATGTCTCCTCCCACGGTTCCTCATGCTTCTAGTCACTAATATCCCCTGTACTTGATCTTGTAGACAGGGAAGTAGATGATCTCTGACACATTATCTTCCAGGATGTATTTTATAAGAAAAAAATTAATTTTCCTTTTCTGGTGCTATGTTTTAAGAAAGGAACTCATCTTTATAATTTATTTTTCTGCACTGGCATTTCCATAATCTTGATGTAGGATTCTAGCTCTTTGTTGTACAGAGGGGTGAGTAAACATTTGTGGAGTTAACATTTTCCTTATCTGAAAGTGTATTTCATATAGTTACTCACCTCTTTACACAACCTCCCTACTTCTGGTGTATTTATTTCGCTTTGTCATGAATGAGAATTAGTTCTAATGCTAATGTTCAGGGGATTACTGCTCGTGAAGGATGTGTCACCCTCCTATGTGTATTTTTTTATTTGAATTCAAATTTTTTTGTACAAATAATTTTGTTTCTGAAGAAAATCTTTACCTGTGGCCTAGATTCTGTGGTAGACATTGTGCATGACTATCACAACCCTGTGTACATGCAGGACATCCATATCCTTGTCATTTTCGTAACATTACATACAATATATGCATAGTTCTTAATTTCAATACAGAAGTACATGCAGTTTGTATGCAGAGATTAGTACATGATATTGTGTGTCATGTTGTATTTAGAATTCTTATGTGCATGTTAAAGCATTCTTAGTTATGGACAATTCATTATGCTATTAGGCTTAATATATCCATGTGTGTGAAAAGTGTATGAGATCTAAGGTCTTCATTGCTTACATGTAATTTAAATGAATGTATTTTGTTTTGTTTTTTTTACATAATTTCAGTTCCACTTTTTCAGAATCCCTAAGTTTTAGCTTTTTGTTTTAAGATAAAATTCATTGAGCTAAAGTTATAAATGTTTTCTAGTAATTTATAAAGTACCATAATTACAAATCTCAAAATTATTGTTTTTTTTAGCTAAAAGTAAAAGCAGTGTTGCAAAATATAAAATTTCAAAAATTCAAGACAGTGAGAACATTTTGGTGTAACAGTGTGTTTTTTATTTTACTTTCTCCTAAAGTAACAGTCATAATAATTTGTTCTTTTTTTTTTATCAATAACAGTATGAGCTTGAGGCAGAATTAAGACAACGAGAAAAAGAGATAGCCACTCTTCAAGAGGCATTAAGTGATTTGCAAGTTTGTCTTTTCCAAGAGAGAGAGCATGTGTTGCAGTTATACTCCCAAATTGATACATTGAAAGTGAAGGTAATATAAATTAGAGAACTCTTAAGATTGGTAAAATTATGTAATTTTACATTCTTTTATATTGAATTCCATTTACCAGTAGCACAGCACTAAATAGTTAATTATATTTGTACATAAATTCTTGCTTCACTCTTTATCATAGTATTTGAACCATAATTTAAATAAATTAAAAAGAAACAAACATTGTATTGCACTGTAAAATAACATCATGCTCTTCTGTAAGAATACACACTCTCTTATGAGTATGCAAAAGTTTCATCATGTTGACTAATACCATCTAAACAGGAGATTAGGCAGAAATCTATAAAGCAGGGTGTTACTTTTGGAGTTCAAGTCCTGAAAAGTCAACATTTTTTTCCAACAAAAGTTGTATTTAGATAAATTAATTGTAATGTATATTGTGTATATGTATTAGGTGAAACTTAGAAGGTACAATTATGCAACCTAACATTCTAATTTATGAAACTTTATATATATATAATTTTTGTGTGATTTTCAAAGCATCTATATAATGAGTTATCATTATCAGTAAGTAGCCTGAATTTTATTTTACTAACCCCAAGCAGTGTCTCTAAGTCAAGTGTTTGTGTGCTGGATGTTTCAGTACTTAATTAATAATGTTCAAGGCAGTGGGATAAAATACCAGAAGAATGCAGAATCTAACATTTTGGTAATACCTAGAAACCACATATATAATGTCAGCTGTCCTTGGTGGTTTTGGAGCTTGCTGAAACTTGCCATTAAGTTGTGTTGATCAAAAATTATTAACCAGAACACTGAGAAAACTTTTTATAGTGTGTATTGGCATTGTGTGATAAGTGATTAGAATGTACTAAAATTGTCTAAATTATATCTGACTTCCATAGTTAGGAAAGACAGTTATCCGATTTGTTAATTTGTCATACAAATATTATTATTCATTATTTAATTGTTTGAAGTTGCCTTGAACATAGGAAAAAAAAAAGAGTTGTATAAAAAAGCTGATAATATGAATTTTTAGCTTTTGGGCACAGTCAAATAAGTTTATTTTTTAGCAACTTCTTGATAATTGATCACTTAAAAAGTGATTGTAATTTTGCACAATTTTTTCTTTATAATATTGCGTACTATGTGTACAGTTATACAATACACAATTTTTGCAACATGACCAAAATGGTCTTTTTTTAAAATGAAATGTTTAGTTATAACTGTGTTTTTGAGATATTGTATAATGGATGAATCATACTGTTTAATAAACAGGCATCTTAGCAACTTGTCTTAGCATGAGTCCTATGAAGAAAATTAATATCAACTTTACATATTAATGGGTTTTATATTTGATTTTTGATTTAGCCTTTCTTAAAAGCTGTATAACTATTTCTCTAACCAGAATAGTAGAACGTACACAATTTTCTTATCTTGGTATGTAATGGTGAAATTTCAATGTAAGGTGTGTACATTTAAAATAAGATATCATTTTATAGCCTAAGAAAAAAATTAAAAAATGTTTTGCTATCAACTCTTTTTATTTCAATGTCAGGATGTTGTAAAGCACAGAAAAAAACAGGAATCACCAAAAACTTTACCCAAAGAACATAAAGGAGGGGATGATGTAATTTGTTTTATTGATAAAGACAGTGACTTCATCATACCCCAGTATGGGCAAGGAAAACCTTGGTTTAAAATACCAGACCAAACTCAATGTAAGAAATTCTGATTTCTCCTATTTATTTTAATCCACAAATAGAAAGTTATTGGCTAAAATTATATTTATATTTACTGCTTGAAGTTATTATTGACTGTTTGTAAGACTGTATGTGTGCTTAGTTTTCTTTAAAAGGTCTGACTTGCTGTAGTTTGGTATATTTTAATATGAATTCTGTACATATTTAGAGCAGTATATTATACTTATTTAGATTATTTCTTGAGTAAAGTTTTTAAAAATGCTCAAACCTTTATTTTAATATATATCTAGGTGTCTTAACCATAAAGATCACACTTGTAGATTTTTAGAATTTTTGGTTCAGACTTCTAAGCTAATTTTTTCTTATTTTTTCCAATCAATTTTCAACAAATTTGGTTAAGTTAACCATTATGTTTCTATGTGTTCTGTTTGATCATCTGTGAATTTATTATTGAACTCTCATTTACTGTACCATCCTCAGAGTCCTCGAGAACTTTGAGGATTCTTAACTATGAAAAGGCTGTATACCATTAGAATGAGAAGTTTACCGTCATTAACCCTATTTGGTAAAACATTCAATAGCACTATATAGAAATTAATCATGAGCTTGAAAAATGTAAAGTGAGTACAATCAGTGGTAATGAAACCACCTGGAGACAAATATTTTAAACACTTCTTCAGCATTTAGAAGCCATATTTGTTTTTGATAGTGTCTGATGGTGCCCTTTTCATTTCTGATCATGTTTCTGTGTTTTATTATGTCCATACAAAGGAAAACTTTGTGGTAGAACTTTCTTAATACCCATGAATAAAGCAGTTAAAGGAAAGTTGGGCCATTGTTTACTGTTGCTGTATGTTCTCATCACTCTCCAGTCCTTGAAACTAGAACATTAATCAGGATAACACCATGACATATGCTGTTGTATGTACAGAATATATCCTTTTGTATAAAGACATTTAATACTTGAGTAGAAGATCCTTACCAAGGCTTATAAAAAAAAACAATAGGAAAATAATAAATTTTGAGGCAGCTTTCCAAGTTAAACCTCAGGCATTAGCTTTGTCATTTTCCACCTGTATGATATGCAACTTCCCCAGTTAGTTGGAATCAAAATGAAACTTGTATTGTTTAATGCTAGCAAAACACAGTTGAAACAGTTTTAAGAATTTTGATTTCAAACATTCATACTCTTTATTCTTCAGATGCTGTAAAAACTGAACTCATATTTTCTGCTTGCTCTCCCTGAAGTAGTATCTAAAATATGTCAAACTTTTGTTAATGTAAAGTAATAAACTTCACTGACTCCTCTGATAATGTTTTGACAAGAATTCATGTTAATTCTAGTTTTGAATCAGATTTTTACAAAAACAAATTAATTAATAAAGTGTAAAAGCTACTAGCTAGAGAATTATCAATCTTTTTAGTAAATAGATCATCCATGAAAGAAGGGCATCACTTTAAATAATTACTCAGAAATATCTGGAGAGATAGGCCTATACATTCAAAACTATAGTAATATCCTTTGTAAGTTTGACCTTTGTCTTGGTTTGTTACAACAATCCAGTAAATTCCATCGCAACTGACATTTCAAGTTGGGAAATTTGAGGTGTTTATATCATTGGATATTCTAGTTATTTATCAGCATTTCTAACAATAACAAAACGCTTTCTTTTGTCCTTTGCCATGAGTATGATTTACCTCTTAGTAAAATTACATTGCTTGTAAAATTGTAATTAGTTTTAAATTTTGAGTAGTTTGTGAACAGAAAAGAAATGAAGTAATTGAACTCTTAAGCTTGGTTGCTTCATTTTCTGAGGAATATCTAGATATTATACTTAATACAATTGTATGTTGCTTATTCTTATTTATATTTTATTAGTATGGTAACTAAGTATAAGCTAAATGTGTAGGTGTTAACCAGTGGTCAATGTTATGAAAACATTATGTAACAACACATGAAAATCAACCATCTACTGATTAATATAGCTATCAACTCTGTTTTTAAATCCCATGCATATGGTTATATAGTGTTTTATATATATATATATATATATATACACTTTTATATATATACATATATAACTAAAATTTTATATCATTCACCACTTAAATACAGAATAACCACTTGAAAACACTGCACTGGCCTAAAATTTCTGTTCCAATCAATATCTGTCATCAGTTTGGCTCTTATGAGAAAGATATATCACACAAGATAATTATACAATATATTATCTGCACAGTGCATTGATGTATACGATTATATCTATTTTTACACTTTAACATGGTTTCACAACATATATCTAATATGGAATTCCAATAAGGTACTCTCCCTCTGCTCATAAGATTAGCTTTCCTCGTTTTGTGCTACCTCTGTATGAGAACTTTTTCAGAAATGTACGCCACAAGCCTTCATCCTCCCTCTGTTGAAATCCACAGTTCCAATACGTCTCTCATGCGAATCATCATGCATCACCTCTCCACCGATGGGAGAGCACTTCTATCATGTGATGCAGGTTACTCCCTCTATGCGCCACTACCAAACTATCACTTCTCGTTTGGCAGCTTTCGAGTTCAGATGTTGTTTTTTACACCATTCAGTTACCTTGAAGTGGTTTATTTTTTCATTTGAGTTTTATGCATTTTCCATGGCTATTTAAACTCACCCTACCTCAAGATAGGGTGTCTCATTAAAGTGTCACTTCCTTGTGATAATTGTGTCATAATATGCCCGTCCTGGACCGTACCACCCATTACACTGTCTTGGGTGTTGTAGTTCCTTTGGACTCTCCACCGCACTTTTCCCCCTTTCTTCCATTAGAGTACAGGAGTTCTTACCACTTATCAGTTCCAAGCCTCTGGGGTGGTTGACCATGGAGGCAACCTGCTGGGTGGGTTCCACATAGATGGCTATTACCATTCAATTCAGAGTAGGATGGTGGTGTTCTGCCAGTGTAGAGGGAGTTACAAGATTCTCCAGATGAGTAACTATTTCCCAGAGTTGAGACATCCAAATGCAGTTCAACCCTTGATTGGGAGCCCTCATCCTACCCTTGCACAGATGTCGGTACCCAGCGAGTGAGGTTTGGAGATCGAATGAACCAATCACAAAAGTCCTCACACAGGTTTCAGGTTGTCCATCTTCCTCTCTCAACTTGTCTTCTGTGTTGTGGGTCACAGAATCTCAATATGGCCTGTTTCCACTTCTGTCCTGGGTTTTCCCTTGTTGGGAGGCAAGATTATTACCAGCCTGGGGTCATTTCAAGCTGGTTTCATGGTCTAGGAGGTTGAGTGTATACAATTGACTTCCCTCGGATTCTGGATGACACATTCCTGGATCTATGGCATTAGGCTACCCTATGAGTTCCTGGAGTAGAATGTTAGGTTCATTCTTGACTCTGGGACTTGAGGTGAAGATTGTATGATCCTCATCCTACCATTGTGAGGATGTTGGTATCAAGCAAGTGAGGTTTTGGATGTAGTTGACTTACCAAGTATGGTCCGTCATGCCTTAGCCACTCTACACCATCGGATGCATCCTCACTTGCCCACTTCCATTGTGGGATTGAGTGATTCTGATTTCTTTTTAAGATCATATTGCTAAACTATCCTCTTCCACACGGATGTGCTCCCTTTAGTGTTCCTCCATGTATGGTCCTCCTGATCATGTTGATGTTCATGGCAAAGTGATACCTGGCTCAGGTGTGATGTGGTACCCCTCCTCAGATCATCTGATCTGTTCCTTTCATTTTGTGGGTGTCTTCTGGATGCTTCCGGAGACATGCTTCTCTTACAACTGTCCCTCCTCAAGCTAATCTTGTGAGCTGAGGGAGATCACGTTATCGGAAGTTATATTTTTCTTAAATGAAGATGCATTTCCGATAGGCACTTCCATATGTTCACACTCCCCTTCCCCCATTCTCTCCACAGTCTTCTGGTACTCGCGTCTCCTGCCAAACTTCGAAGTGATAGTTCGGTGTTGTGGCACATAGAGCAAGTAACCTGCATCATGTGATAGTAGTGCTCTCCTATTGGTGGAGAGATGATATGTGATGATTTGCATGAGAGACGTGTTGAAACTATGGATTCTAACAGAGGGAGGATGAAGACTTGTTTTCTGAAAAAGTTTGCATATGGAGGGCAGCACAAAACAAGAAAATCTAATCTTGTGAGAAGAGCGAAGTACCTATTGGAAATACATTATTATTTAGGAAAATTGTTACTTTTCTTAATTTATGGTAGCCAAAACTTGATTGTATCTTTTCAATTCTATCATTATATTATATTTAAAAACAACAGCAAGAAGAATTAATAAAATATCTTGATTAAGTTGTGGACATTTTTGTATTTAGTTTGATTACTATTAATTATAGCCATAAATTATAGAGTCGATTCCTTAATGTAGCTTGTATAATTCCAATCTTACTTGTGAGAGTATCACTTCACATGCTTTGAATATATGTTTAACACTTGCATTCACTCTCATTCAAATCAAACAAGTAGCTTTGAAATGCATAACAATTCACTTTCACACAGACACTAAGAAACATAGTGCTAAGCATAGATTCCCCAAAACAAAACAAGTTTCTAAAAGTTTTTGCCATCCTATTTCAATTTTATTGTTTAGAAAAGAAAGGCTGAAACCATTGTATTATGTCTACACCAAACTCCTAACAAAACTGTGCTAAATGTTCTGTCTGGACCATATATCTTCTATAAATATTAAAACAGTATCTATACATATTATAAACAAGAAAGCAGAGGTGTCCATTTGTCTGATTGCCTAGTGTCACAAATTATTGTGAAGAATCAGCTGAACCAGTTTTGATGAAACTTAGTATAGGAAACCCCATAATGAGTTGGGCAGATAGTTTGAATTTAACAACCATTCCAATTTTACTACCATAATGCTGTGAATTAGGGCTCAACTGAGCAGAGATCTGTAGCAAAATATGTGAATCCAATACCAAATGAAACTGATGTTTAATGATGTATATATTCAGTTATGTTTCTATTAGACAGACAGATCATATACTGTGGTTCAGAATAGTGAAAAGGGACAGTCCACATCTCCATTTATAGTATTACTTTTTAAGCCTAACATTGCAATAACATCTACTAGTAAGTGGAATGGTATATCATGTTATTGCTATTATATAATGTTAAGAATAAATATTTAATGCTGCACACTTAACATTTAATAATTATAAAGATTGTTTCTTACTGTAGTATGTGCATGTTTCACTGGATAGATTTCATAAAAATCAATGTTTTATATTTATTTGAAATGTTCTTATTCTTTTGTATTTAATCTCCTTTAGGCTTAATATATATGAAGATAATTAGCTAAAAAGATGCAGATTTAATTAATGACAATTTTTGATTAATATAATAGTGTGCAATAAGGAATTTATACTTCTGTTAATTTTTTTAAATTAAATGTTTTTCTTTGCAATGAGCTATAGATCATTTGTGATTAAAACTTAAATTCAGTAACAGTTTCACACGAGAAGAAACCTCTTGTATTTGGATTTCTATATATATATATAATATGTTTCTGTAATTTTAATTACTTTTATTTCAACAAATTTATTCTTGTTTGTTGATTAAAATACAGTTTTCACATACTGACATAATGGGTGCTTATAGAAGGCCCCCATGCCAATGAGAAAAAACAAGTATCTTTATTTTGCAGATATCTAGTAAATTGATATTTTTTCTAGGGCCTGATTTGTAAAGATAAATTGATGTACACTATAGGTTTGTGTTTTCTATTTAACTTGCATCTTAATTTCAAAAACTGAATAATGCATCTGTTTTTTTGTGAATCTGAACAGCCAGTGAATGTTACCTATTTTATAATAGAAGTTATGATACTACATTTCTTCATCATTTTAGTATTATTTTATGATCTGAAAATAATATTTGAAATAATAAAATAAAATCTTCTGATATTTCTACAGTTTTTTACACAGATTTTTGTTTGCTAATATTTTGTACTTTCAGCTTCTTGCATGTTTTCTAGTTTGTAATTTGTCTTAAGTGATTATCGTTATATTTTTAATTAGCCAAGAAGCCTGCTTCACAAGAACTGCATTCTAAGCATTATGTATATGACGAAGATCAAATTCAACCTACTATGTCTTTAAGACCAACATTTAATGATTCTGAAAATCTTCGTATTCAGGTAGGAAAACAGTTAGTATGTACCTTAGGAAAGGTGAATGATTATTTACATTTATATATTTTTAATTTTGTCACCACATATGACATGATTTTACATTAAATTTAGTTGTACATACATATCAGTAATCCTTAGCTAGTGTTACTATGGGGTAAAGAGTCATTTCTTCACATTGAAAACTCAGTACTTATGTTATTTGCTTTTAGTAGACAAAAGAGAAGTGAATGGGATTTTGTCTTTTCTGTAACATAGGTTAAAACTCTTGAGACTCAACTAGAAGAACAAAAACAGCTATCACAGGATCAAATAGAAGCACTTACTGAGGAATGTCATGTTGTCAGAGCAGAGGCTAAGGCACAAAGAACTAGGGATACTGAGAAAATTAATACCTTATCAAGCAAGTGAGTAAGAGCATTTGGCTTATTCTTTAGATATCTGTAAAAACAAAAAAAAGACAGTTGGAGAATTGATGCAATAAGTATTTTAATTCCAACTGCACAAAAACAAATAGATATGGTAAGAAAACTACATTACACCAAAAACTCCAAAGATGAAGCATTTAATATGGTGTGGAAAGCACATGCATGCCTCTCATGTCCTGTTGTAGACTGCACAGCTGTTTCAGAGAATTCTGCACCTGCTGACCAGGGATATGTTTCAGTTTAGTTTTTGATTTTGGTTTTAGTTTTGATATAATTATTTGACAATATTGCTTGCCATTAGTGATTTAATTTTGTTTTTTGAAATTGCACACTGTCAGGGCTGTTCAGATGTTGAATAATAGACAGCTCATTTAACCTTTTAATAACCTCCAGATAATTATCAATCGTTTTTTTTTATTAAAAACTTTATATTTCATTTGTTATTTTCATTGTTGTATCTCTGTGTGAGTTTGGTTGATTTGACTGACCTTATAATCACTACAAAAAATTTGGAAATACATATAAATTATGTTATTTTCATTCTAGAATGACTACAAATTATAACACAAAACCACAAATGTTTAGTCTAAATAGCTTAAAATTCATAACATTAAACATCTGTATATATTTATTATTTTTATTTTATTGACCTTTCAGTTGTATCTGACTAACGTTACAGAAGTTGCAATAACGCAACACACGTCCATTCATGTTATTGTATCCAACAGTATAAAACTGGTCTTTACAAAGTGACCTCTCTTGGCTGTGTTCTAGTGGACCAGTATTTTGTAAAATACAGTCACATTTGATTATAATACATTATGTATGTATGTATACATATTATTACTATTTACAAACAAGTTCTTAAATTTCAGTTATTTTCTTAAAACATAGAACAGTAAATAAAGATGTATAGAAAACATTTATCTCTTCTACTTACAAACTTTGTACTCATTTGCTGCTTGCTGTAATTTGCTAAGCCTTGTCACATTTTGCATGTGGAGGATGTAAAACAAAACGTTTTTTAAGTTTTATATATGCATTTTGAAATAACAAAAAATCATAAATCACTATATCAATACCACAAAATTATACTATAATTTACCAGGCTTAGTAACTAAACTGTATTTGGATCTAAAAAGATATGATTTTTTGAACTCTATAATCTTCAATCCTACCCTTTGAATTTACCATGAAAGGAAAGGTTTCCCCACACAAACACTTCACAGAGGCTGAGAAAACCATGTGGGGGACATCTTGAGCTTTAGATTGGTTATACACACATCACTGGGTGAAGTAGGTGTATGTAAGCAAGTGTTTCCAAAAATGGTTGATTCAATAAATCTATTAATATCTCAGAAAATAGAAAAGATAGGAGGTTCTTATTTTACATTCTAGCTTGTCAATATCAGTAATTTGAGTTTCCAATACATAAGAAACTACAGACTTTGTATTTAAACATCACAAACATCTAATTTGAACTAAGGCTGTATTCAGTATACCATCGATATTTAGGAATTTTTTTAATATTTACTTTTAAATTCAGAAATTAACTAACGTATAATACTAAAATTTGAATTATAATGTATGATTTGATACCAAATTTATTGACATACTTTCATAGAATAGTAGTTCAATAAAATTTTGAATGTAAGTCTATAAACATGCCCTTTGATCCCTAACCATAGGAAGACTTGTCGAGTTAGGGTTAATGAATTCATTTCTGAAGAGCCAAAGAAGGGTGATATGTTAAATTATACTTGACTTCTTTGGTAGTGGTTTGGTTGTGATGTGGGGAAGCATTAGTATGAATGATTGTTCTTATCATGCTTTTTAGGGCCAAATTTACTGCTGTACAATATTTTGTCATGGTTGGAAATTCAGTCACAATACCATTTGTCCTGATGCATGATAATGCTTAGTGTTATTCTGCTAGGATTGTGACAGACATCTTTGAACAAGTAACCATGTACAGATTATAGACTGAACAGCAAGAAGTTCAAATCTAAATCCCATAGAACACCTGTATATCCATACTTAAATACACTACACAACATCAGACAGCTTGGTGTTTCAGTGACAAAAATTGGACAGGATCCCCATAATGCCATTTGCCAAATGAATAGATTCAAAGACCATGTTAATGCCAGGGCAGCCCCTACTCATTACTGAGTTTATATCTCTTTTTCCAACTGTGATTACTGCTGTCAGAGTGGTTTGGTCAGACCCTGACTCTGACCACTTTGAATATGAGGATACTTGTGTTCTGTGTTGCAAATAACAATATCCAGTGAAATTGATTCATTAATTAAATGGTATTTTAATTTCAGTTTGTCTGTTTACTTGTTTTTAGGAGTAATTTACATCTAAAGTTGCATTTCCTAGTTTGATTTGAATGTTTTTAGCTATACAGTAGTAAAGCCTTCTTTAAATGATTTTTCTTGGAATGTGACTTTTGGCATATTGTTCTACTGTATTTGGTTTTCTTTTCTGGTATGTAAAGCAACTGGTCAATTGTTAGTGTTGTAGAATTAGGAGAACCTTGTTACCACTACTAAGAAACAAATGAAATACGTCTGAAGTTACCATTAACGGACAGCAGGCTAGTTCAGCCTACTGTTCCTAAAGCCCCAGGTTCAAGTCCCACTTAAATAGTCTTTCTCAATATTACTGTATATTTTTACAAACCTGAAGAAGACAGCAATTTAGAAGCTGAAACATATTGTTTGAGTTAAAAGATAGATTAGTGTGAAGGTTATTTAGAAAATAAAAGAGTTCATCAACAAGAAAAGATGATTGCAGAACACTAATTACTTTTAACCATTACATTATGTTTTAAATTCAAGTATTACTACCACTAAACTAATGCTCTATAGAGTGACCCTTTAACACACAATGTTATAATGTTATGAGTATAACAAAGGATGTTGAAATTTGTACTGCTGGAGTGTACTTCACATTCTTTGGAGAAATGTTGGTAAATGTGAGAAACATCCATTAGAACTGCTTGGGACATTACTTTGTAGATTTATGAAGTAAAGAACTATCAACCCCATTAGTCTTGCTAATAGTGAGGCCATATGAAGTGTTAAGTTTTCGAGTGTAACTATGCTATCTTAAAAATGAACAACTTTAAATTTAATTGCAGATGTCAGGAACAAATACAGAGAAACATGAACCAGAGTTAATGTTTGTTTTTCTACAAATAAGGAGTAGTGATTGTATATTATTCCTTTAATGCACTGTGATAAGTTACTAGGTAGAAGACTTTGTATAATTAGGTCTATACAATTAGCATTCACATTATCGTTCATAAAATTTGCCCCTTTGCTGAATTAAAGGTCATCATGGGTGAAGAGATACTCTGCTGTGAAGAATCCCTTTTTTTTGAGTGTCCTTTAGGTCCAGTCTTTTCATAAGGCTGGTCTAATCCACTCATTCTCCCTTGAATCCAGTTTTGTGAATTTTATTTTTTGGTTCTGGATTCAACTCTGGCTCTGTTTGCTACAATTGTTTTGTAGTCTACATTATTATCCTCCTGCCTTTCAACTTGCTATTCAATTTCTCTTCATATTAATCGGTTCCCACTTCCTTTACGACATGGGTATACTTCAGAGATACATCTTCCTGATTTGAATTTTACATCTTAAGAATTAAAAATAGTTTTAGATAGTCACTCACCCGTAAAATGTCTTTTCATTTAACTCCCCACAACTTAATTTTCATTGTGACTATAGGTATCTGTAAAATCTAAATTATGTGAGATCTCCTGACATCTCAGCAACAAGTTATGTAGAAGGTGGGAGAGTGGAGGATTACAGAAAATTGATGCATGCACTGCAATGCATAAAGGACATTTAGAAATTTTTAGTCAGATGTTTTGTTGACAGTATGAATTCAAACTCGACAAAGTAATGTTTCAAGGATTTGAGAGGTCAGTACCTATTTGAAATTCAATTTAATTCTAAAAATGTAGCATTTTTTTTGTACAAGCATCTCCATACAAGTTGATAAAGTAATGAAAATAGTAAAAGATGGCATAAAACAACCTGGTTTTTGAATACTTCCCCATTTTACAGAATAACTTTCTTACAACTTTGACATTTTAATATAAAGTTATCTTTGTACATGTTAGCTATCCTTAAGTGTTTAGTAAGATTGTTTTTAAAGTTTGGATTATGCACATGGCCTTAGGAACTGGTATGCAGGTTTATCTAACGTAGTGTATTTGTTTGGTATGATGCCATTGACTACGGTTTCTTGGAATTTTGTACAGGTTTTTGAGTACGTGTTTCTTGCCTGATATTGGCACATCAGTTTTTTTTTTATAGAATTGTCCATTCTTAAATGTTGCTTTTCTAAGTTCTGCAGAATATTTAAATGCATACTTCTGGTCTTTGAATAGATTTCAGCATAATAACTTATAACGAACAAGTTAATATAATTTCAGAAGTAACAGTTAACTGTTCTTCAACGAACAATATTTGTATCTTCTCCTAGAAGTATACTAGTTTTATAAATTGATTCTTTAAACAACTATGAAGTAAATATTGAACTTTTGAGGTATATCAGCTAGAGCTGGGTGAGTAGTCAATTTTGATAATCAATTAATCATTGGGCTCATTAATGTGATTATTCTTACATGAGACTTAGATTGTTGGAATAATTGGAAATAGCAATAATATGAATTTCCATGACTAGTTAATGTAATTGATGCTCATAGGTAATAGATTAATTGTCCAGTAATTATATCAGCTCTCCTCATCCTATCAATACTGATGGTATAGAAAGTCATCCATTAGAGTTCATATTTCTTTGATTATATGTAATTTATTTCCTTTGAGGCAGTCATTTTATTTTTGTTACACAGACTCCTGCAATTATTCTGTACACAATAAATTTAAAATGTTATTTTTTGTAATGTGTCTTTTAGTTGATAAACTGTGTGTTTAGAATTAGTTTTTTTTTTTCTTAGTAGTAGGTGATTTGATATAAAACTTTTCAATGTAATAACTACAGAAGACATATGTATGATGTGGATATTTCATCTACATGAATTAATTATTTTATTTGACTGTATTCATAATGCTGGTTGTACATTTCTTTGATAGTATTTAAATATGGAATGTTTGTTATAGGGGAGTTGTTACCGGCAGGATTTACACTAATTTCTACTGCATGAAAGGTTTTAATAGGATTGATTTACCTTTATTTTAGCACATTGCTTTAGTTGACATCCATTACATCCAGTTTGTTTTGGCACTTGCCATTTTTTCAGTGACTTTGGGTTACTAGCACATGTTGAATAGCATAATTACTGAAGGTCGTTCATACATCTGAGTTTCCCATTAAGGACAGTATATTGACGATGGAGGAGGATGTGTTTCTACGTTTTTGGACTTTGTATGGCAAATTCCATTTTCATTCTTGTAGTGGTAATTATTAACCTCAGTATTTTAGGTTTCATTATAGTGTTCTGGAATGTCAACTTCCAGAAATGTCTTTTGCTTGTTATCTTCAGTGGTGTACTTGTAGTAACCTGTTTTATTATTTAACTTATTTATTTCTCTTTGTTTTGTTAGGAGTAATTACCTTCCTGCAGAAGATAGTGAATGGTAGCATTTTTACAATTTCTACACGGAAGTTTCTATCCTAGTGTATTTTTCTTTCTATTTAATATATGCAACATTTTTTGTTTTTAGTGTGGTTGTCTGGACTTAAAAGAATCACTTAAGGTAGGAAGATGCTGTTGAGTTGCACTATATTTCTTCAAGTGTTAAAATTGATGTAACTTGTGTATGTAGATTCATGTAACATTGAGAATGCCACTAACAAATCAACTACTATTATTTTTTAAATACACACAGGCAGAAGTTAGACTTAAGTTTGCAGATCTTACAGAATAAATTAAAACTTCAAACAACAGTTCAAACTTGCATCAATGGAAATCATGTAACCTAGATTAACTGGCCTTTAGTTAATGTTTATTGAGGAACCTACTGAACTGAATAATTGATTCAAAATAAAATAACAGCAACTTCACAGTAGGCAAGTTCTGATTTTGATAATTATGTTTTGACCCATAGTATCGAGTCCTCATCATGTAAGAGTTCATCATCATCATCAAGTGCCGTGCTTTGTAGCATAGGCGATCTCTCTACCATTACCGGTCTTAGACACTTGTGACTACATCAGTCACCCTCTCTTTTTCTAGCCAAATTGTTAAACTGTCCAGGATTTTCTCTATTTCTTTTCCCCCACAAATTTCCCAGTTGTCACCAAGTATTAAATACCTCATCACATGACCATAGAATGCTGCTTGTTATTTCGTACTTTTGTTATCAGGGTTCTTTTTGTTTCTGTTTGTTGTAGAACTTCTTCATTTGTTTTTGTAGGAAACCCTAAACATTCTATGCAGGAACCATATTTTGGTCACATTAAGTGATGTAAGAGTTACATTAAAAAAACAAACATATGTCATAATGACTCAGTACTGTTGTTTTAAACATTGTAATAATCGAAATAAGAACTTGCCTACTCTAAAAGTTGCTATTATTTCCTTTTGACCTATAGTTAGTACTGATTTTTATAATATTGACAAGTTATAACTCACCACAGGGTCAAGGTAGTGTAGTGATATAATGCATAACTGAACAATTAATTGGTTTTTCATCTGTTAGGTTAAAACAGGCACAAGAGTTACTTCACCAAAGTACACGAGATTTCATAGAACTGAGACGTTCTACAAGGACAAATGAGAGACTTTGGATGGTTGAGAAAGATGAGTTGCTGCAAGAATTGGGCACAGTTAGAGAGCAGTCAAAGGAAGTGGAAAAGAAGAAAAACAAATCAAATGACCAGAGGCCTTCGACTATTGTTATTCAAACACCTTCTGATAAAACTGACAGGTCCAAGGAATTAATATCTGAGATAAAAGTATGTATCTTAAACCAGCTTCTGGTTACAGGATGTTTGTCTAATTCATTTTATTTTTCATTTCTTTTGCCACATTTGGTAAAAAGAATAAACAAATACTTGATATTTTATTAGGAATTTAGCTGAATTGAGAGCATGAAAACTGAAATTACTTTATGTCAAATGTTTGCCTTACATGTGGTAAAAATAGTGAAGCCTGTTTGTTTAATATTTAGTGAACTGCTTATCACGCACATTTTAGTGTGGATATGTATAATTATTTAAGCCAAATTTTTTAACTTTTCATTCAAACTGTATTCATGGTCATTGATTGGACTTAAACTTCATAATAGTTATTTCACTTTTCATTATAGAAAATCATACTCAAATTAGTTTTTCACTACAATTTGATGTTGCTTCTAAATGATTATTTCCAGTCTTTTCAGCAGCCTCTCCCCCCCTCCTTATGCACACACTAAATAAGACACAATCCCCTAAAGTGATACAGATCTAAGAAGTAAATTGAGTTTTTAATGTTACAACCAGTTGAAACTCATGTGTAGATAGCCTCATAAAGTTCAAAATTAAATTAATGGGTGCTTTCATGGGTAGTGATATAGCCATTGCATCTGTTGTACCTAGTTCAGAAAGTGTTACTACAACAGAAGGATAACTATGATACATAGAGAAGTTTCACATCATTACGTAAACATTTTGATCTGATCTTCTTTATATCATTAATTGTGTTTTAACTTAAATTTTTCATTTCAGCTTTCAAATCATTCAGGGAGTGAAAATCTAGTGTTTTATGTATGGTTTCACTTGGAAGCTCTGAATTTGCATAAAAATAAATTGTTCGAAATACTCATTCACTTTATACGCAGATGTACGACTCTCATCTTTAAGTTCATCATCACTATCTCTGTACTCCACACTTTCACTTTTTACACTCATTCTTACTGCATCTAATTGGTCACTGCTGTCATTATGACTTTAAATTTTTGAAACCTGAATATTAAGAGATCCAGTAGTACCCATCAAATTCTTCTTTCCAACAACTTTACACTGGTGACAAGAATCAATTTGAGTCCATCTGCTTTTGTAACAATCTCTAGCTATGGGTATTGTTGTATCCAACCTGTGATTGTACTGTACCACCACCTGAAAAAAAGGTTACCATGTGTGTCGTGACAATTAGCTCATTTCTTGACATTTAAAAATTTAATTTGTAATAATAGGTTTTTATAATGATGGCAAATTATTGTTGTTCTAAGTTTTCATGGGTTAGACCACTGATTATAACTTACACTATTATATAATTAATATTCCAGACATAACATTGTGTTCTTTTTCTAGCTGATTTCCAAAGTTATTTTTTAGCTGCCACTCATGACATGCCCCACATCTGTTGATTCATTCTCTCTCACTAATATAAATACATCAAATGCATGATTTTATAGAAAAAACTTTTGGTGTTCATTTAGGAAATTCTGGAGATTATGCAAATAAAATAGAAAAATTTAAAATAAAAATAAGTATAAGATTAGCCCAATGCTCTATTCACCTGTACAAATTGCAATAAAATCAGGATTCACCTGTCTGTTTTAAAGTTAAGAGATAAGAGAGAGAAATAAGACTTTTTTTCTAGAGCTTATTCATCATGCAGAAATCTTAAACGTGACACCTGTGTGTTTTTTGTTTTAATTTGTGTCACATGTTCAATTATTTAATCCAGTATGGAGTAATCAACTGGAGTAGATTTAAGAGTTTCTAATGTGGATGTAAAAAGCTTCTGATAGATGTTTTTCTTGGTAAGGACATCTTGAATGCCAAAGTCAAGCATGCAAATATATCAAAATTCAACTTTAAAATGTGGCATTCAGTTAGAAAACCATAGTATTGGTCTAGTAAAATATTTGGTAAATGAAGCTGTCATAATGCTATACTTCTCTTATAGAATGGCTAAATATGGAAATAAAAAATTAAATTATGTTAATTTTACTATGTTTCACTTTATTTCAATTTTAGTAATGAAAAAAAACACAACAGTTTCTTCATGCAAAAATGTTTCTGTAATGTGATCCACAAAATAAATGCACCTACTTTTCAAAGCCGACTGTTGATTGGCTGATCAACGTCCCATGTTGGATGATATTTGTCCAAACTCTTGTCCTGGTTAGGGGTGACTCTTGAGTTGGATTTTGACTATTGTGATACCATTGCAATAGTATTGGATAACAAATTCAACTGTACAAGTTAGTGTGTATATAACATAAACATGTGCTTTTATTCATTGAGAATTAATTTTGAAAATGTCAGTTAAGTTGATTTATTATTATTATTATGTGATTTCATTATATGTTGTAATACATGGTAATTGCAATATCATTGTATTTGACAAAATACCAGTATGCTAGTTACAGATTTGTACTTTGTATGCCAGTTTTAGTATATAATTATAAATTTGTCTACAGAAAGTTTTATTTTGTGTACTTTTCAAAGCAGATGTTACATTTGCCAGAAACAGCGAAATGTCTCATGCTTTGTTTTATTGCTTTATTTTCTGAGAGGGGGGATTACTACTCCATACAGCAAAATAAAAACCAAACAAAAATACATTTGATAAAAGAATAGAGTTTTAAACTGTGAATGCTAGTAACTTGTAACTTCAGGGTCAATACAGAAAACAAAAGAACTGTGTTAATCAATTTATTTCATATTTTTCAACCGTTCTTTTGATTTTTCTTGGATGATGTCTGTAATGTCCCTGGAATTAAGTACTTTGTTTGTGTAGAGACATCTACAGATAAAAATATATAATGTTACCAAAAATAAACTTTTGATGTTCATTTTGGAGGTTGTAGAGATTATGCAAATAAAATATGAAAACTTTAAAATAAAAATAGATATAAGTTATCCCTGTCATGAAAGTGTGTTTAATGTAAGTACAACACACTTTTCTTGTTTACTAAAATATTGCCAGTTTTCATGAAGATACACAGTAAATCCAGAATTATAGTAACTGTTAATTCTCCAATATTGGCTTGGTCCATTGTGTGAACAGCATTGCTAATGGTGGATGTGATATGCATGCTTTTAGGCTTACAGGTAAGTAGAGACCATAAAACCAGCGTAAAAAAAAGGGAAATTACCAAGAAACAGCTTAAGTAAAACAAACAGAATGGAGAAAATAATCAAGTTTGCAAAGTATTGAAAACATTGGCGATTGTTATCAGTTCTAAAACTAACTATCGATGCATTGCTATCAGATGTTCATAACCTCAATCTATAAATAGTTTGATGTATCTGTAAACTTTAATTTGGGTTTCTTTCTTTTTAAGCACAACGCAAGTGTCTATATGGAAAAATAGCCATTTTCACAGTATGCACACAAATATATATTGTAAGGTATCGGTAATAGTACATCCGTAGCTGATACACGTAAAATAAAAAATGACACATCTCTCTCAAAATATGATACGTATTTTACATGGATATGCTAGCTATCTGGAGCACTGTAGAACTGTTTTCCACAAATGTCTTCTTTTATTTCTGCATGGTGTCAGCTTTCTTACTGGAGTCTTCAACCTATAGTTTCTTAAAATAAAATTAATCCTAAGATGTAAATCTAAAATTAACTTTTATATTTTATTTTGCTTGTTAGCTTCATTTTTGATGCAATATATTGTGATTGATACTAAACTTTTGATTTAATAGATTAAGAACAGATTATCTTATGATAAAAATCCAGTTAACTGTTGATGTTTTTTTCTTATCGTATTGTACAGTCTCTGAAGACCCAGTTAGGACAGACACAAAAGTTAGCTGAGATGTATCAAGCTCAAGTAGTAAAATTAGAAGATGAAACATCTCGGTTAAAAGAAGAGAAATCATTCTCCCAAGATCTGTATAAGGTTAGTCATAAGTAATCTGTTTACTTAGTATCAAACTTTGTTTAACTTCCTCAATATATTTTTTAAGAATAAGATACAAGGTCACAAGATGTTTGGAATGTTACCAGTGCAGCAGGTATGGATGTGTATCATGATGGGATACTCCTGACCATAACAATGGAGGCAGGGTATGCTAATTTTTTTAACAGAGCTTGTTGCCCAAAAGCTGCATATTAAACTCCAAAAAGGTCTCAATGCATTCAAAACAGCTTCTGTAAACAAAAACAGGGATTTCCTTCTGACAGTCAAATCAAGTATAGGGTACACATGTGGAAAAAGCTATAAAAATAAAATACTCCCTCTAGATATGCAATAGGGTCAAATTAATAGGAGATTCATGATAGCAACAGCAGCACTACCCACTAAAGCAAACAAAACAGTATAGTAAAAAAAAACATTGTATACATATTCCAGGGTTCTTGAGGATGGCAAAAAAGTCGTTAACAGTGGCTTGCTTAAAGAATGTGACTGTTGATTATTGCTAATTAAGATACATCAGCAGAAGAAGATGAAATTCAACAAACAGTGATGTGATGAGGAGTCATGGACAATATAATAAAAAGGAAGAAAGACAGTAAATGAATGACAGGCATGAAAGATTGAAATGATAGCTACCAAGACGAGACAAAGCTAGGCAACAAGAAGAAAAACAAGAAAATCACTCCCAGAAGTTACTAAGGTGACCATTGATGACCGTCGCCCAAAGCTTCTCAACTTTGGTACCATGCAGATCGTCATTTATACAGCCTTCAACCTTTCCAACTGCAGCAAAATGCTTGGCAGATTGTGTCTTACTCATCCCCATAATTTACTTATACTTGTCCAGATTGATGGGACCCTACTCACATAGCAAACTACTGTAATTGTCTCTGGTTAAATCAGAGATTGCTTGTTAAATTATCATCAAGTTTTCCTGAATTATCACTTAGCCATCAAAATAGTTGTTCCAAGAGTACCTTCACTCATTTGTTCTTCCGCATGTACAATATATGAATAAATCCCCGACATTGTAAGTTATTGCCTTTATTATTAAAATTTTATGTTTCTTGAATTTTTAAATAAAGAGCTTCTACTTCTTAAAGGTATTTATATGAGAAGTGGAAAAAAATTTAGATTACTGGAAAATTAATTACCAGATTGCCTTGAAATTCATGTCACTTTTCCACATTGTCTACCTGTACTTGTTGGCATCTGGACCTTTGTCGGATGTGGAGAAAATGAACAAGGTGAAACATATGCCAAATTAAAATAAGTTTATTGAAGAATATGAAAACAATGTTTAAGACACCAACCCTTCATTGGGTTTGCATTGAGAAGAAAATAGTTTTTAGAAGAAATAGGGTATGAAAAAACAAAAGTTGAGTATTACTAGTAGTACAGAAAACTTCTTTGGCTGATGTGTCAGATGCTTTTGCTGCATTCTTGAACATTTTTGCTTGTTTCAGAATGTTTGCCATTTGCTTTATTTATGTAACCAAACAACCTGTGTTGTATAGTGGATGGTGTGAGATCTGAAAGCCCAATTGTTGGTTGTGGAGATTGCATAAACATTGTAAGGATGTGAACTTTCTTGCTGGATAAGTTTAGCACTCCTCAATCTTTGGCTTAAATGGTTGGTTTCAGATTTTCTAATAACATTTCACTGTACAATGTAACATTGGTTATTGTTTCTTGCAGCATAAAAATGAAAACATTCCATTCATATCCCAAGACACGGTGACGACAACTTTTTCTGTAGAACATTGGGGCTTGAAATGTTTATACTTTTGGTGATGTTGTGAAGCACCATTCTGTGCACGCATTTTTCTCTCTGGTTTATCAAAGTACACCAAAGTTTTGTAACCATTGTTTCCAAGCTGGGAGTGTTTCACTAAGTTGTATCAAACCTCAAGACATTTTGCATTCATCATGTTTTTCAGAGATCTGGAAACTCACCCTTTATAAATTTTAAGGTACAGCATATGACTGTGGATAAAGTTATGGGCAGAACTATTCCTCACTCCAGGTTTCACTGATTTTAATGTGATAATTGTCATGTGTTAGTAGACTAGCCTTTCATGTCATGGATTGTTTCTCAGACTTGACTACCTGTCTTTGAAAATTGTAAGTTTGCCTTTCGGGAATACAGTTTTCTCTGTGTACAGCTTCGAGACCAATAAATAAAAATTTCACAAGATTTTGTTTTCCTAGCATCCAAGGAAGAGATAGCTATAGGCAGTTATTTCTTGGTGCATTTTTCTGTATGAACTATTATGTTGTGCAAATTCCTATTAATCAATCCACTGGTGTTATTATTATGTCCATCTATCACTTGTTTGAAAATACCTGCATATCAAGTAATGTTGGTGGTAAATTTTTTTTTTTTCTTACTCAATATGCTGTTTTGCTTTATTCCCTTTCAGTTGATTGTCCCTTGTATTGAATTATTTTTTTATGTGGGAATCAGAGGTTTATTTTTTGCATTTCAGGACAGAACAGGTAAACTAAACAGTAGACTTCAAGTTTTAAACTCTCGATACCAGGATCTTGAAAAAAGACATCGAATAGAAATAGAGGGTTTTCGATCAGACATCAAAGGACTTAGAACAAACTTAAAGGATATTGAAAAACAAGTATGGAAGGTAAATATAGTTCATAAATTTAGAATAACAATTTTGTGAAGTATTGGGAACATTTTTATAAAACAAAAACAATGATTGCATAAGCAACTGTCATTTTACTTATTAGATCAGTTACAAATGTTAGTAAATTACTAAGATAAAACTTATACATGAAAGCTACAATTCTCTTAACTTTAGGTTGTTTCACAATGTTCCATTCTTATTTTACAACTCATAATGTTAAAACTGGCAAATGTGTGTCTGTATTAATTAATGAAGTAATAAGAATATACATGTGAAGAAATCAAGCCTTAAAATTATTACTACTAGAGCTGAACAACTTAATCAATTATCTTTGAGCATCAATTAGTGTCATATAAACTAACTGGTTAATCAAAATTAGCATTTTTGATTATTCCAATGCTCGATTAATCAAAATCAATTGTCATGAAAATAATAAACTAATTGAAATCAGTTGTTCTAATTATTACTGTTTTAAATTATTCCATGAATTGAAATTACAATTAGATAGAGTGTCATAAAAATAACTAATCAAAATTATGGTTTCTAATTATTATTCCCATTGCTTAGTCCGTCTTTGTTATGGCAAAGCTACTAAGGTTATTTACCACTAATTTTGAACTGCTGACTAGAGGGAAGGTAACTGGCTGACAGCACCGACCACGAATTCTTCAGCTACTTAAGTGTTGAATAACCTGTAAATTTATTGTGTCATGTTTTTATCTGTAATTGTATTTGTTAATGTTGGAGCAGGTATGGATCTATGGAGGGGTCCAAACTAATAAATAAATAAATACCCTTGTTTTTTAATGTTGTATAAGCAAGCTCAGATCTGCACCCTCCATTTTCCCCCCCAAAAACAAATAAATACCAGTGTTCTTTAATGTAGAAGCAAACATGAAGCTTGGGGGAGGGAGGGGTCCAAGGTTTTTGAGGTGGCAAAATCAAATATATTTTTGAATATTTTTTTAAGTATATGTATCAAAAAATAGGTTAAAATTATAGCAAGCACACTGGTCCTCAATTAGTTATTGCTAAGTATCACTTAATTATCGTGACAAGAAAGCCATGAGAGGTAGATGGGTGAATATCTTTGTTTTATAACAAAAAAAATCACTTCATAAGGGAAATAAAATTTTACCAATATCTAACTTATTACAAAATCAATTGATATTATAAGACAAATCTGTATTAGTTGTTTTAAAAAACTTTTAACAAAGGGGGTGTGCTTTGTAAGGCTGGTCTTGGCCCACGAGTCACCCACTGAGGACTATGGGTTTAACAAGTTAATTGATACTTATAAATGATGGTAGTAATTATCCTGATAATTCATTTTCTTAATGTTCAAAAATGTTTAAGCCACTGATGATGCTGAAAAGATTTTAACATACACATTATGTCACATAAAGTGATTCATTAATGTTACATGAAAGTGTGTTTTGCTTGAATAAGGACTCTTAATTCGTATACTAAAAAAATATTATTACAAAAATCTTAATGGATATTGTTAATTCACTTCTTTTAAAACATAAAATGTAATATGAATTACAGTTTTCATTAACAAGCTAGTATGTATTAGGTTTTGTATTATTTAAAGTTCAGTGAATTACAGTATACATCAACAAGCTAGTATGTATTAAGTTTTGTATTATTTAAGGTTCAGTGAATTGCAGTATACATCAACAAGCTAGTATGTGTTAAGTTTTATATTACTAAAGGTTCAGTGAATTACAGTATACATCAACAAGCTAGTATGTGTTAAGTTTTGTATTATTTAAGGTTCAGTGAATTACAGTATACATCAACAAGCTAGTATGTGTTAAGTTTTGTATTATTTAAGGTTCAGTGAATTACAGTATACATCAACAAGCTAATATGTGTTAAGTTTTATATTACTAAAGGTTCAGTGAATTACAGTATACGTCAATAAGCTAGTATGTGTTAAGTTTTATATTACTTAAGGTTCAGTGAATTACAGTATACATCAACAAGCTAGTATGTATTAAGGTTTGTATTACTTAAGGTTCAGTGAATTACAGTATACATCAACAAGCTAGTATGTGTTAAGTTTTGTATTACTTAAGGTTCAGTGAATTACAGTATACATCAACAAGCTAGTATGTATTACTTAAGGTTCAGTGAATTACAGTATACATCAACAAGCTAGTATGTGTTAAGTTTTGTATTACTTTATGTTCAGTGAATTACAGTATACATCAACAAGCTAGTATGTATTAAGGTTTGTATTACTTTATGTTCAGTGAATTACAGTATACATCAACAAGCTAGTATGTGTTTAGCTTTATATTACTTAAGGTTCAGTGAATTACAGTATACATCAACAAGCTAGTAAGTACTAAGTTTTATAATATTTGATGTTCTACTCAGGCTGCCATCCACTTTGGTGAAGATGACAAAGATCTTGTTATGCTACGAACAATTAAAGAAACATCTGAAAGGTCCAACCAGCTGACAGGCGACTTAAAAGGATTAAAAGCAAAGTTGTATCGGCTAGAAAATGACCTGCGACACTTATAACACAACATCGATAAGACATTTGTATTATATGTATATGTATACTGTAACATTTTTATTATATGAAGTGTAACATTAACAAAACCAAAACTCGGCAGTATCTATGGTAACACATCAGTGATTTGAAACTAAATATCAAGCATTTCTTAAAATAATTCATCATGAACACACTTCTCTGTTAAGTAACTTAATTCTTTAATTAAGATGTGCTTCTCTGTATCTAATATTTTATCTTTGTATGTCCGTTGTCTAATTGTTAATAATGACAGAAAATAGAGAAGTATAGTTTGTAAAATATTTTTTCATTAATTAAAATATAACATATATAATAAAATTGATTGTTATAAGGGATGGCCATAAACCTACAGAAATAAATTGATGATGCAAGAACTTGGTATATTTATTCAATGACTCATTTTTTGTGTATGTGTCAAAATTTAAACATTGTTGAAGAAGTTTTGCTTTTCTAGTGATAGACGTATATTTTTTGGTGAAGCTAAGAACAAATATATAGTTTCCAATTTAATCCTATTGTGTAATCTACAGCACAGTTCCACATGTGTTTAGTGAATTTGTGTATGAAGCAAAATAGACTGTATTGTGGTAAAGTTAGCATAATTTTATGAAAGCTGAAGATTACTTTCAAAAGAATGTATATTACTATAAGAATTTTATATTAGAATGTCCTATTAACTCGTGTCTTCCAGAAATAAAATTTATGTTAATGGAATAAGAAAAATACTGCGTAGAAGAATCTTTTATCATATTTATTTATGAACCTGTTTATTCTACATTTTGTTGAACCCAGTTTAGGGCTGTCATTTATAGCCCTATACAATAATATTGTATTTTTGATATTTTTATTAACAAGTAAACTTATACACAGTTTGAAATCATCCATCTTTTCATTATTATAATAAATAGCCACACACCTTCAGTAAATTGTTGGTTGTCCTGTATCCGATCTCACTGGTTAAGTTTCAGGTCCAAACAAACGTGCAGTTTATCAACTAGCTACTCTCTGTGGTCTGACAGTTATTACTATTTGCACATCATGTTAACTGAATGATTATTTGTTTTTATTTGTATCGTAACTGGATTGATAATTGTTTTACATATTTTTATATGTAGTATCTCATAATTATTTTGACTTTCTCTTTACTGAAATACTTGGTAATTAACTTGGTAAATAGATTACTGCTCATATATACTTATGTTCAAATGCTTGTTTCCCTACATATATAATTTCCTGTATAAAGGTACTTACTCTTATATAAAACCAACATGCAAGTGTGATAGTTCTACTAAAAGGACAACTGTACGAACATTTCCACCTCATGAATAGATATTTGGTTTAGAGGTGTAAGAGGCAAATTGAAAGTTGGAGAGAGGGTAGGTCAAAGTTTATTTGATTGAGCAAAGTGGGGAATATCTGCCACAGGTACACTCATTACAGCCAAGATCCAAGGTCCTGGAAGCTCTTGGGTTCTGCACAAGTTTCATGCATTATCTTGCATTTACTGATAGCAGTTTTCATAATTTTGATGCATTTTTACTAGCAAAGATTGAAAAGTGTTACAAAAATGGTTAATATGCTTAAAAATGGTTCATCAGCTTTACTAAAGAATCTGAATGCTCAATCATTTAAACCACGTGCATAAAATGGGGTGTGTCATTAAACTCTGGTATTGAAAGCAAATCCTTCTACTAGCAAGAAACAAGAACTTGTAAGTTATTTTTGTAAAAATATGTACTTTCTCAACCCCAGTGCTATGTAATTTAAAACAAATGTTTCATATTGTGGGTCATGTACCACTGATAGATTTAAAAAGTTGCTGGCATTGAAGATCTTTCATAAACGCTGTAACAGAGAAGTAACATTACAAATATATATATTGAAACCGTCCAAATGTACCCATTTTTAGTTTTAGAAAACACGTATGTCCATTTCTCCTGCCTTAATGATTGTCACAGATGTGACAGTTAAGGTGCAAGTGGATGTACTTGTATCAGCTAAGATCACCACTAAATTCTATAATCTTAATATGTATCTTGATCTCTTCTAGGAAATAAAAAAAGTATGCTAAATTCCACTGGAGTAACTTTCTAAGTAACCACAACTCCCTCCACCTCAAATTTATGTATATTCAAGTAGAATATTATATGTAGATGTGCCTTAATTACCTTTGAAGAGGTTAAGTCAACAATTTTAGTATTAAATATGTTTAATACTTTCTAAATATACAGGCACTCTACTACCCTGCAATGACCAATGTACAAATGTTTACTCTGTGTGTGTGTGTGAATACTGATGAGCTGAATTATATGATTAAGTTTTACTAAGATAATATTTGAGTATACTGTTGAATCACTCAAAGTACAAAATATATCTAATGTTAAAATGGCAATCTGCCTAAACATTTTTTATTTCTTACATATCTTGTATACAATTTTCTGACTTGAAAACATTAAGTGTGAAGTAAGGAAATAAATATGTTGAATTACATAATTAAAACTACAAACATTTTAAAGTCAGTCAAGGTTCATATATTAAGAGCAAAATGACAACTTCATGTTAAGCCATGACTTAAGTTTATACCTGACGAACACAGAGGTCACCAAGTTACTTTTTTATGTTAGTTTTAAGATAATAAATCTTTATCATTTGTCAGAGCTACAGTAATATTTATAAACACATACTGCAGTCCACCAGCCGGCAAATGCTTACCAATATGTTAGTGAATAAAACATTACAGTTGCGTTATTATCTCCATATTGGTTTATGAGACTGTAAAGGGTGTCCCAAAAGTTGAACACAATTGTAACATTAAAGAAATTAATAGTTTTTATTGCTTCTTTGCAGGTTTTATTTAGATAATGGCATTGAGCATTGATGAACTTTTGCAGGTAATTTGGATTGAATGTCTTCAGTACTGTATTAGTTTTGAGCATTATTAAGCATGTTCTTTATATGTGCACAGACATTCACCCTAGGGAAAGTACTGTTTGGGATGTCCTTCATGTACAGAATTGATATTTAGGTGAACAGTCAACTACTGATCAACAGTTAAATCAAGATTATCAAGTCTGAATCAATTTTGTAGCTATGTGTGTTTTTTCGATATAAAAAACACCCCTGTAAAATATTTATGTTAAACTTCAAAATTATAAAAAAACTTTTCAATGACATTAGTACTAGTACTCTGATCCAGTGGGACAGGGGTTTCATTCCCCTCAGTGGACACAGCAGATACCCTGATGTGGCTTTTTTGAAAGAAAACACACACTGATCCAATGAAAAAGCAAAGTTGTTATTAGTACTAGCACTCTGATCCAGTGGAAAAGCAACAGCTGTTATTAGTACTAGCACTCTGATCCAGTGGAAAAGCAACAGCTATTATTAGTACTAGCACTCTGATCCAGTAGAAAAGTAGCAGTGATTAAAACAAAAAATGAAGAACTTAGACAAGTGTTGATTAGAGCATAACTTTGTGTATATATTGCTTCACTTTTATCTGACAAAACATCCAATATTTCATTACTTAAAACACATTTTATACTTTACCAGTTGTTTAAGAGAATGCTTAGGCAGTAAAACTTGCAAGAACTTACTAATAAAAGTGAGAAACCTGACTTTCAAAAGTAAACTGATAAACTTTATCTACTTTATCTTCTGTGCAGAAACATGCTGGAGGAACTGTATGAACAATACTTAAGAGAATAAAGAAACATCAAAAAATTCATCTGGCTTCATGAAATGATGTTTAGATAGATTTCAAACGTGAAGATTATTTGCTGTAAATTACATTTTTCTTCCAAATGAATGAGAAAGATGCTTTGCTACAAACTGGGAAAACAATGAATGATCATTTCAGTAATGCAAGAAAAAAATCTGAATCATATACTTATGATTAACCCTCATCACAAAACAGGTTGATCTCTTTAATCAAATAATTTAATATTTCACACGAGTTCTTGCACTCAAGAAAAATAGATTACACACACACACAAATATATATATACCATTTTATCATTTGCAAATGTAAATTTAAAAAAAAAGACAATTGCAAACTTGGATATGCATAGATGAGTAACATTAAACAAGTTTTTTTATCATATTCATAATCTTTATACTAATCCAAATAAACACACACAAAAAATCTGATCTGAGATTATTATTTTAATACTGACCAAAAGGTGATTTCTTAATTGGGATGTTAATAGTCATCATACTTCACTTTGATAATTCCACCGATCACATGTTCCAGGAACCTCCTTTTCATTTCAGATATCATAAGGATTTTTCATAATGTCTAAAAATAGGCAAGGAATCCCCAGAAAGCTAGAGGCTCACTTTGGAAGATTAACGTAAAAAAGATTCTTTCATGAGACAAAACCACAACTATGGTTTTAGGAAAATAGTGCATGTTTGATGACACGGTAAAACAGAAAAAATGCTTAAAATTCTGATTGCCCCATTTGGGTTGATTAGATTTTTTTTTTCTTTTGCTATTCTAGTCAGTTCGTGGGCCTAGTAGCTGGTTAGGATCAACTAAATGATGCAAATTTTGGACACTGATAAATGAATATATAATTTAGTGAACCAAAAAGGAATTTCACTTATAATAACACTTATCACTATCTGTTATAAAAGCTTAAAAGAATAAGTATAGATTAATATAATACAATGCAATGGCAATGAAACATTTAATTCAGTAAATTATCAATACTTATATAAAAATGGTATCAAATACATTTAGAGTTAAAAAACTAGAAAGTAAAAATATTTGATAAATGATATAACTTAGAATAAAATAAAAACATCAGAAAAAAATTATACAAAAGCTACAGAATAAGTAAATACTGACAGTTTTTTTTTGTGATTATTATATTTTGTGATTGATAAATAGTTTTATACATTTTTTGAAGGTAATTATAGAATTTACTTAAAGTTGCATAGAAAAAGAAAATAAATATCCATCACTAGAATATAACTGATATTGAACCTGCTCCTGGATTAAGATTTCTTGTTTGACTATACTCTATTCCAAAGTAAAAAACATAAATTTTCTAGTAAGGTTTTTTTAATTTTGTTGTCTTTGAATGATTGTACGTGTTTTTATTTTTTCAAGTAACATGGATTTAAGTTTTTGTATGCTGAACAAATGAGCAATAATTTCTATTATGTTCATGTATAAATATTTCTTAGAACTATATATTTCTGATTATATAGCAATAATGAGATCAACTAAAGAGCTAACAAGTGTATGTAGGATACAGGAAGCAAGGCAAAACTAAACAAAAAGAAAAACTTAATAACTACATACAATAGTATTTTGTGCAGTGTAAATCCATCTATCATTTAATTCCCCTCTAAGTGCTTGTACGATATACAGAACTTGTCCCATTACACACATTTCCTTGATTACTTTTTTTCCTTTTAATTTAAACTTGTACATGTACAGTTTATTACAACTATTAAAGAACATCCTTAATTTAAGTTGACATAGACATTACAATAGTCTGGTTTATCCTATTTCAAAAATGGGTTGTCATTATCTTCGTATGTGTCATTGTTGCCTGATTATACAGAAGCATATGAGACACTCATTACATTTCTAGGCTGGCTACTGAATTAAAAACATGTTTGTTCATTTAACACAATATTTATTATGGCTTTTATTGGGATAAAGAAAATATCCAGTGTTTACCCAGCACCATCAGGTAACATAAAGAGACCAAGAACAAAACATTCACAAATAATATTAACAATCAGTTCAAAGCTTAAAAAAGATCATTCATAAACAAATTTCTCAAACTATTAATGATCATGAATGCCTGGATCAAATTAATTTTACAGAATTTTATACTGAAGAAATGCAACTTCTTTATTTTGTACATTACATAGCCTGTAATTGATTTATTCCAAAAATGTCGACATGTTTTCTGTAGTAATAATGATAACAATAATATAAAAATCAAATACTGTAACCTAACAAATCATGTACAATAACAATGACATTCTTCTCAGTTCTAAATTAAAAATTTCTACAAATAACAACTCCTCCATGATATTTTCTGAGCAGTGTGGATAATAATATTAAGTCTTTCTTTTCAATAACACAAATAATTCTATCACAGAAAAACTTTCCAAGTTGGCGTCCATTCAGTGAGCTTACTTAAATACCTAATTATGAATGTATTTTTATTCTATTAACTTGTACAGTCAAGAAATTTAGCTATTTTACTAACTAAGTCATTAACAATAATACTAATATGTATATATACATCAGGTCACATAAATGCAAGCCAGTTACAAATCATATACAACACTACTAGATTTATAACTGTAGAAAATATTCAATATCTACTCTTATTTCCATACTATAATTATGGTGAAGTTTAACGATATTTCATGTTAAGGAAATCAGCAATCAAGAATTCACTACGCTACATTACATCCATCTCGAGCCCATTACTTGGACTTCCTTCGGCTTATCATTGATCACATGAATATACTTATTATAAGATGCTTGGAGTAGATTAGGGTTTAACTATAAGCAATGAGAGAAACAGATTTCTAAGCTGAAAGAGAAAAGAGATCACTCTTTCATAAAGCCTGTTACGGCAAAGGAAAAATATGTCTAGGGAATTACTCTCTAAAGTAATAAGTACAGACTTCAGACAGGTCAACACATTCTAAACAAAACTAGATAGTGCCACAGCAGTACTTTCTGTAATAGTGGTATATTTTATAACACCTGACAATCAGCTCACAATCTACTTATCAGAAATAATGAACCAGAATGTTAAGAAACATACCTAGACTGAGACTTCATTCAAGCATTTCAGGTTTAAGCCTCAATTAGGGAAGAGTTCTTAATATCCTGTATGTTAAATTTCCAGTCATCTAGTGGTCATCCCACCCCTGAGGATCATCTGAACTGAGTACATGGTAAAGCTCTATTTCAGTTTGTTCCAGATTGGCACTACAGAAGCTACTGCAGATAAATAAGATATGGCCGATGTGTGATTATAATATTGTCATGGGACTGGTCAGGATGGGGACATCTCTCACAATTAATGGGTAGGGCAAGAAGTCATGAACTAGATAAAGTATCTTCTGCTTGAGGCTTAACTCTGTCAGATGATATTTACTTCATTTTAGCATAAAACCATATTAGCCTGACTTTATATTGAAATGATATAATATTTTGATGATTTTTTTAGAGGAGTATGAAGCCATAATTTTTGAATATACATGACAATGTGCTTCCTATTATTGCTGCCATCTTGTGAATAATTTTCTCCTTACTTGAGTATCACTACATAACGAAAAATTTCCAACTTCCCAACCTCTGATCATCATGTGCAGTTGCACCTTAATTATTTACACTCCTGCAAAAATAAGTATTTGTAATTTTGTACATCATTATCACTAAAAATTACTAACACTTTAACACAGTATACTTTAAAAAGTTTCATCTCATTATAAGTCTTATAAATTTTGTGAAATTAAAATAATTATATTATTACTGCTTCTAGAATAACAGTTGAAAAGTATCATTAAACACTATTTTATAAAATTATTAAACACCCACGTATATATATCCAAATCACGACAAAATTGTCACGGGCAAAGCTTTGGAATATCAGGCCTACCACTGATAATAATAGTTGGCTTATCTCTAATTTGGGCTTATATTTTTCAAGCTTACAAATACATACCAATACAACTTTATTTTTGGGAATACCATCACATCAAGTAATGAAGTACAATTTCTTTGGTAGTCTGGGTGTGCGACGTAACTACCACTACACTTTTTTAAACAATACATTTTCATTAGGTATACACCACTTGTATAATCTATAAATAAATTAAATACCTATGAGCATGTATTTTTAATATAGATTAGGTTAGCACTTTCGTATTCCTTAATCTTCATTTCATTATAAAAACAATAAGTTATATATATTTATAATAATATCCGTACGTCCATAAAATCACGTGATCAACAAGCCGAAATGAAGTAAATAATTTCGTATTATGAATACGACAAAAAAATCATAATTACCGAGAATTTTAGCTTAAACAAGATCACAAAAAATAAAAATAAAACCTTACGCCTACGCCTTTACTTTTTTTTGTCCAATCAATTCGAAACTAAAGCACGTGCTTTACATGTGAATTTCATATTGATTTTTAAATGGCGCTCGCGGTGAGCGTAGAGGACAGTAGTGTGTAATCAAAGTTCTGTTTAAAAATGAAAGAAAACTTTGTAGACTACACTAACGACGATAAAGAACATTTAGAAGAATTTCAGAAAGTCATTGAAGTAAAAGATAAACTCATAAAAAAACAATTTATTCGAATTGAAGCATTAGAATATGAGAATGCAATTTTGAGTCGGGAGAAAGATGCTTTGGTTTGTGATATAAATAAGCTTAGGTTTCAATTAGAGATGAGCCAATTGAAACGACACAAGGATGAAAGGTTAGTTGACAACATTTTTACCATCCTTTTCTTTTAAAATAGCTTACTGGGTTAGAGTAAAATAAGTGCTAAAGGTAAAAAGTTGTCAATGATGTAGTTATAACTTATAGTGAAAACATTTATGGTCTAGTACTAGTAGTACAAAGCTGAAGTAAAAAGCTACGGGCCCTCCGACTCCCGAGCCTGGCTAGGACATAGTTCGGCGCTTTTGATGTTTTTTTCTCCTTTGTCTTGTCAAATCATGCTCTGTTGATTGTAATTAAAATTATTTTAATATAGTGAACAAAAAAGAGTGATTCAAATATACGATGAGATTATTAATTATAATTTTTACCATTTACTTTTAGCTGTCAGTGGTATGTGCAGGTATAAGTAATTTATAATTATATTATGTGAACTTATATGTTAAATAGTTTTTTAACGTTACATTTTACTTTATGCCGATAGTAAAATCAAAAGTCAGGTCCAGGTGTTTGCTTAAACTTAAAGTTAAATATATAGTTGGGTTATTATAAAATTACCCAACTACACTTTATTTTTGAATTTTAACAATAAAAGTATCTGAACAGTATTAATATTTTATCAAAGGTGCAGTTTCCACTGTTCCGTTTATTCAGGGGTTTTATAAAAGTAAAATTCTGCATTAGTTTTTGAATATACCTGTTACATAGTGAATATTGAAGTAAAGAACTCATTTTTAAGGGAACCACGACTTAAACTAAAAAGTAAACAAGAAAACTTGTATTTAATAACGTTTCGGCTTATGGCAACTGCGCGATTTATTCTGAAGAAGATGTGAGCGAAAACGTAGGTCGAATAGACAGTTTTTTGTGGCTCTACGTTTTAGTTTTATATTATGTGATGAAAATGTATAAATTAATACCGACGTAAGGTGGGACAGATTGTTACGATGTTGAAGACTTTTCTGAGAAAGTTACTTTGGAACATCATATATATATATATATATATAACACCAATTGTTATTACAGCGTTTTCATTTTTGTATAACAGATATATAGTTAGTACATAACTTACCTTGCCAGATGTGTTAGGTCATCGTGCGTTTATACCAGAATATTCTTCTTGAATTTTGTTTGAATTTCGCGCAAAGGTACACGAGGGCCATCTGCGCTAGCCGACCCTAATTTATCAGTGAAAGACTAGAGGGAAGGCAGCTAATTATCACCACCCACTGCCAACTCTTTTCCCAACGAACAGTGGGATTGACCGTTCCATTATAACGCGAGCATGTTTGGTGGGACGGGGATTCGAACCTGCGATTGCGAGTCAAGCGCCCTAACTACCTGACCATACCGGGCTTTGTTGTTGGAATGTGACTTAGGCCTACGAAAGAAGCACGTAATCTATAAAACTTGGTTTCTCAAAACTTTTAAATTTAAATACGTGAGAACAGGCTATGACCACTTAAAACACACATTTGAAAATATAATAGCTGAAGGCGATGTACGACTCGTTTTATGTACTATTTTAATGTTTTATTTGCTTAGAACCAACAAGTACAAATGTATTTTCTCAGAATGGTATGTCATATAACAGTCCTGTTCTCTCAAGAAGCCAACAGAAATACAATAAAATTTCGACAAAAAAGACTGATTTACGTTTATGATTTGCGCGTTGCTAAGTGAGAAATAACTTAGAAACGAAAGGTTACTTAAGAAGTTTAGTATTGCATAAACTTATTATGTTATTTCTCAGAAAAGATTAAATCATTGAAAGTTATTTGATATTGTCTAAGTCTTCTAGTAATGTATAATTTAAAAAAAAGATTTATATTTTTAGCTACAGTTTTGCTAGAATTTCTCACAATTAGCTTATATATATATGTGTGTGTGTGTGTGTGTATGTATATAAATATATATAGCACTTTCTTAAAATTATGATTTAAAGAAAAACTTTTATGTATTAATAATGTATTGAATGAATATTTTCCTAGGCCTACGTATTTTTATTTTGTAACCACTCTCTACTCGTAAGTTACGATAATCTCTTTGTTGCTCGAGTCGAAAAGAAATCCAAGTTTTAGATTACTTATATTTGTTATCAAGTGTTAAGTTCCTGTTAATCACCTGTAATCACTTAGTTTTCACATAGGCAATGGGCTGGTTATTATGAAATATCGACTCAAAACCCTGGTGAAACAACGACATGCTCATTGAGAAAGTCGTTTCAAGACTGAAGTTAAGATTTTAAAAAACTATACTGTACATTAAGAATTTAGGCGACTTAGAATGATAGTGGTCGGTAGTGGTATTATGACCAGACTCGATGTCTAAGAGTTTTATCAGCTTTAAACAATTTTTTACAATAAAGTGGGTTAGACGCTATAAGTTGTATCCCGAATGTTTGGGTTGATGTTGTTAAACACAACGCTACACAATGGGTTATCTGTGTACTGCTCTCCATTGGTAAACCCGATTTTTAGCATTGTCATCCTGTTGGCTTACCATTGAGCCACTATTCCGAAGATATATGTAATAATAGCATAGATTTCGAATAATTTGAAATATAAATCTGTTTGGCAGAAATAAACAACAACAAAATAAAAAGTATGCAAGGTCTTAAATCAGGTTATCCTTAGTTTTTTATAAACGTGTATTAACTATGACCATCAGATGAATTATCCAATCTTGGATGCCAAACCTTAGATCCAGTGAAGCCGTTTGCATTGCTTGACACCCGAAAACATTGCGGCGTTCTATAGTGGCATTGACATGTCAATCACACTAAACGGAAATCAACTGACTCAGAAGCCATCTTTTACAGCCGATTCTTATGCGGGTAACACTGTGACCTCGCACAGCGGCCCACACAGGCATGGTGTGTGAAGCTGTGGGTGAGTCACAAACACCTATAAACGTGCTTAGATTGTGAAACCAACTGTAATTTTTAGGCGTGGTCTAACTTTTAACTTTAAATAATTATACCAAAAGTTGAGAAAAACATTTTTTTGGATGATGACTCATACATATTAATGGCGGGTCTCATCGTACCGACGGCTACTGTCTTAATTTAAGTATACTTACATATACTATGATGGGCTTTGAAACCATATAATTTTAGAAGTATATTTTAATTATTACTTCAAAAATCGAAAGATTTCAAATCGTATTTAATTTTATTATGTTTCAGAAAGTATAATGTACAATCACGAACAACGCCTCCACCTCCGTACACGTCACTGTTGTACATAGTACATATTTTAAAACTGTATGCGGTAATTTAAAATAAACATGTCAGATAAAATATAAAAAAAAAGGAAGCTATCAAGTTTAACTTTCTCAGCAATTCGTATTTTTATCACAGTTTAAAATCGAATTCAACACTGGTATTATTAATTTTACCAATGTAGTACATCGTATTGTGCTTTTTTGACATATTTTTCAAATGTACTTTTATAGTTGTAAATAATATTACACTGGTACTTTGTTTAATTCAAATACGTTTCAGACTTAGGTATATCAGAGTAATTGAAGTTACGTTGTATTAAACGTATGTCTTCATAAGTACTCATTAATTTGGGTCTATACTGTAACATAATAGTTTTCAAATGTTTTTAGAATCATCACGTACTCAACCCGACCCTTCAGCAGCGCGTGGTTTTCTAATTATTCCTAGTACTTTGTTTAGTGTGGGTCTACAAAACGAATATTATGTATAACGTAATACTATTGTTTCACATAAGTGTTATAAAAAAAGGTGCCTAATATCTACAAATCGTAGAATTATAATAAATATTGAAATTTGGGTTGCAACTAAAAGGATAATTTATTTTTCAGTGTGATGAGTGATTCTTTTTTATAGTTCTTAGAAACTTTGTGTATTGTTAACGAAGACTTGCGTATCAGGACATGGCATGATCTATAGGTTATCGTGCTCGGACTGTAAATCTGAGATAGCCCTCGTCCCGTTGCCGCGAAAACGCGCACCGTATTTTGAGCGGTGGGTGCGCTATAAAACAGTCAAATCTCATTATTATGTTAGACAACAGTAGCTCGTGTAGATGTTCAGCTAATCATGGAGATGTCGAAATCTTGTAATAATTGTTTTAACTGTCAGAATTGAAGAAACTCCTTTAACTGTAAATTTGCCTCCCTACCTCATGTGTCATTTAATTGCACTAAATTCAAAATAATGTATATATTCAATGATTCAAATGTTGAAATCTGTAATCAATCTATTATTTGTCAGAACGCATTACAGTTACTATATACACACAGTTAAAATGAGTTAATTTGGAAGTATAAACAGCTAAGAATGCGATACTTTATACATTAATATCGGTTCCTTCACAGTTGTTGTTGTTTACCTGCATCAATAATAACGATCTTCTCAGTGCTAAAAAATACATCTTGTTATATCTAACACAAAGTTAGGGTTAAGGAATCTCAAAACAACCAGTCCCGTTGGTATACAGTTACTCCACAATGAATAAAACGTATTACTAAATCTTTTAATTGGTTGCTTTTGTCCAACGGATGGGAGGTTCACATGCTGACTCAGTGTTGGGTGGAAAATTATTCACGAGATTTGTTTTTCAGCATATTTATATAGAATCGTTTGATACTATAGTTGAACTTCAAGAAGACGAGTGCATTTGTATGTCGAACCCAGGATGTGAACAAAGACTGTGCGGAAAAGCTCTAAATTATAACCCAGTTGTTTACCATGCATTACAGTTAACATTTAATTAAGGTAACTGGAGTTTGGTGAATTAATGTAAATATAATGATAGGGTTGGTCGTTTGTAAGCGAAAAAGGGAGGGCCGATATAATATTTTATTATTATTTTTTGTGTGTGTGTGACCTCTGTGGGCGTTGAGTTTTTGGACAATATACATAAATATTTGAGTCAATATTTGTTTTCTAATTTAATTTATCTCGGCTACAAATCTCCAGAGGGCATCGTCGCAACTCAAATCGGGAAGTATCCCGAATTTAGGTTAAATATTTTTGTCCCAGTAGCCAAAGAATAGTATTTT